TCATTTTAGGAATAACAAATTGTTCTACATTTTAATTTTGAAATAATTATAGATTCACAGGAAGTTGCAAAGATAGTACAGAGTGGTCCAGTACCCTGTTAGTAAAACAAAACAAACTTTGATCATGGAAGTTTCGAAATTCAGATTGTAATTTTGAAAGCAATGAATTTTTGGTATAGCCCAACTCTGGAAAACAGTTTATGAGTTTCTTAAAAAAAAAAAAAAAAAAACAACTGACCATGCAACAACATACAGTGGGGCACATGTACTTTGGGGCCTTTATTCCAGAGGAAAGGAAACATGTTCATACAACAACTTGTAACACATGTTCACAGTAGCTTTATTCAGAATAGCCACAAACTGAGAACAACCCAGCTATCTTTTAATGAGTTAGTAGTTAAACTGTGGTACATCCATACCATGGAATACTACTCAGCAATGGAAAGAAATGAACTATAGTTAAACCCAAGTTGGTTGGATCTAAAGGGCATTATGCTGAATGAAAAAAGTCATTCTCTGAAGGTCACCTACAGTGTATTTCCATTTATATATATATTATTTATATGTCTCTAAGTGACAGAACTGTGGAGATGGAGAGCAGATTAGTGGTTGCTAGGAGTAATGGATGGTGAGGGGGGTAGATGTGACTATAAGGGGTAGCATGAGGGTGATCTTTCTGTCGTGGAATAGTTCTGTATCTTTTTTTTTTAATAGTTCTTTATATTAATTGCAGTGGTGATTACAGGAATCTTCACATGTGATAAAGTGACATAGAACCATATACATTTTTTTTCTACAAAAGTGGAGACATAAACATGTCAGTGTTCCAGTTTTGATATTGTGCTATAATTATGTAAGATGTGACCAATGAAGGAAACTGGATGAAAGATTTACTGAATTTTTTATTTTTTTATTTTATTTTTATTTTTTTTTAATTTTTTTTTAGATTTTATTTATTTATTTGACAGACAGAGATCACAAGTAGGCAGAGAGGCAGGCAGAGAGAGAGGAGAAAGCAGGCTTCCTGCTGAGCAGAGAGCCCGATGCGGGGCTCGATTCCAGGACCCTGGGATCATGACCTGAGCTGAAGGCAGAGGCTTTAACCCACTGAGCCACCCAGGCGCCCCATTTACTGAATTTTTTAAAAAAGATTTTATTTTAGGGGCACCTAGGTGACTCAGTCCATTAAGTGCCTGCCTTTGGCTCAGGTCATGATCCCAGGGTTCTGGGTTGGAGCCCTTGGAGTAGGCCTTCTGATCAGTAGGCAGCCTGCTTCTTCATCTCCTGCTTGTGCTCTCTCTCTCTTTCTCTGTTATTATTTTTTAATTATTTACTTGAAAGTGATAGAGAGTGACAGCACAGATGGGGAGGAAAGGGAGAAGCAGGCTCCCCGATGCAGGGCTCAATCCCAGGACCCCAAGATCACAACCTGAGCTGGAGGGAGACTCTCGACTGAGCCACCCAGGTGCCCCCAGGAAAAGATTTTATTTTAGAGAGAGAGCACGAACGAGCAGGAGAAAGAGCAGAGCAGAGGGAGAGGGATAAGAAGACTCCACGCTGAGCACGTGGGGCTCGATCCCACAGTCCTGAGATCATGACCTAAGCCTAAACAAGAGCTGGATGCTTAACCGACTGAGCGATCCAGGTGCCCCAGATTTACTGAATTTTAATAACCACATACTGAAACCATAATATGCTTAGGACTTAACCACACCTGCCTCTAGAGGGGAGTCTTAAATTTGGTTAAGACGTTTTGAATACAAAGAGACAACTATATGTATCTTAGATCGTTCTAAGTTCAAGACTCAATAATATATTCCTAGGCAGGATGAAGAAGAGAGTGACCACATTATAGCCCTGTGAGAAAACTGAATTCAACCAAATGATTTTTTGGAAAGCTCAAGTCAAGGAAATCCAATACAGAATACAAAAAAATGTACCTTGATTTATTCAGCAACCACTTTCCAAGTACCTACTAAATATCATTCAGTGTTAGAATTGAAGATAGAAAGATGAGTAAAACTAATAATACTTGTTCTTTTATACTAGAATGTAAGCTCCATGAGAACATAAGTTTTTATCTGTTTTATTCATGTCTGTAATGTTTAGGCCAGTATCTGGCATATAATAGGTGCTAAATAAAAATTGCTGAATGAATGGATTCTCCTAAAAAGCCTGGAGTCTGATAAGCCAAGATTGGAAATAGGGACAAGAGCATGTAATAGATGCTATCATAGATTTGCTGCCTTTTTCTCCTTCCTTTTCAGTCTTAAGTGGTATCTCTTTATGAGTATTCTGATAGTACTGGGTTCAGTGTGTGCACAGTTAAACTTTAGCAGTCACCACTTCAGGGATGGCTTC